TTTTAAATTTATTTATTTTTTTTAACATTATAATCATAATCATGATAAAAATCATTATTCCTTTCACATCTTAATCCTAAATTATGCAATCTTAAATAGCTTCAGCTTATCATAGATGAAAAATATGAACTTTTGATCATTCTTTGATAAGTCGTTGAATTGCCATTTTCTTTTTCAAATGTATTTCCATTCATGATAAAATTGATTTGAAATTATTCAAATTACAGAATAATTTGTATTTTTTACAATTATAACTTTAATTTTGTTATGAGTTTTTTTCAGAGAAATTTTTTTTTCCTTTGCAATCATAAAATATTTTTAGTTTTGTTGTTAATTATTTTATAATCATTATTTTTCATTTTAATAACTACTGCATAATCATAATTATAACTTTTTTTTTTTTGCTATACATTTGTTCATAATTATATATTTCCATAAATAGATCATTCTTCTTTTCCTTTTTTTTTGTTTATAAATAATATTAAAGCACATTGAATTATTTAAATTTGAAATTAAAAAAAAAAATGAATCTGTAAATTCATTTTTTGAAGTAAAATTTTTTTTTTTTTGCTTCAAATATTTAAAGCCAACAAATTACTTTGCTCATTATTTTGAAAATAAGCGGCAGTAGGTCGTAACGATTTAAGTACTTTCATAAAAATACCTAACTAGAAAAAAAAAAAAAAAAAAAAAAAAAAATTTTTTTTAAAATTGAAAGCAAACAATAGTTGTTAGCATTTTATTTTTCAATGGGATATTATTAACATTCCTCCTTTCAATGTTTTTTTTTTTTTTTTTTTTTTTTTTGAGCCAAAATAAAAAATAATTTTTTTATTTTATTTTTTAAATTTATGTTTTCCATTTTGTATTTTAATTTGGTAGTACTAAATTTGAGAATAGAAAAGAAAAGAAAAAACATTAATTGAATGATAATAACAGTACTTCGGTGAAATTAAACTGATATTCTTTTTTTTCATTAGCCATTTTTTCTTCTTTTCATTTTCTCTCAATTACTTAATTTAAATTAATTTTTTCTTTTCTCTTCCATCTTTCAAAAAAAAAAAAAAAAAAAACAAAAATTTATTTTTAAATAATATTAAATTTAATATATAATTGCTTTAATTTCACTTTTCCTTCATTTCTGTTTTTTTTTTTCCTTTTTTCTCATTAAATTATTAATATATTTAAACTTTAAACATTTTTTAAGCAAATGTTTAATTTATCAAATAAATGGAAAAAATAAGGAAAAAAGAAGTAATTGATACTATTAAATCAAAAAAAAAAGTGTTAATATGCTTTCATTTTGTTTTTGCAATTTTTTTTTTTTTGCATTCACAAATTATTTTGAAATTTAAAAATGAAATTGAAAATATTTTATATAAAATTTTAACGAATAAAAAAATAATTTTAACAAAAATAGATTTCCAATTACAGCTAATTTATAATTATTTTCTCAAAAAAAAATTAGATAATTTTGTAATATTTCCAATTATATTCATTGAAATGTATTTTTAACATTTATCAAAATCTTAAATCTAATATTTCAATAAATTAATAATAATAATTAATAATAAATTCTTATTGTAATACTTATAGAATATAGACATACACACATACACACACACACACACACACACACACACACTCATACACATACTTTTATCACTGATAACAAATATTCATATTTCTCGTTTGGATCTAATTATATTTTCATGGAAAAGTGCTAATTCATTTTGATTGGAGAGAAAAAAGCAAAGAATATAAGCTTTTTCATTAAATTAAACTTTTCTATTCCTTTCTCAATCCATTTTATTTCATTTTTTTTCCATTTATTTTATTGTTTATGTTTTATAAATAAAAGACAAAAACAAAAACTTACTGATTGATATAAAATTTCCTTTGATAAAAAAAAAATTTTTAATCAAATTTATATAATAATTTTTAGTGATTGATTGATTTATTTATTAACTTAAATGCTTTTCTATTTAAATATTAGTAAATGTCTTTTTTTTTCCTTTTAAATTATTACTGTAATTGAATAAATCAGTAAAAATTGTTATATATTTACATATTATTAAGCAGAATATATATACATTTAAATACATTTTTTTTTTTTGAGATCATTTTGTAAGATTATTTCATAAAAGAAATTTATTGAATACAATTTTTTTCATGTTCTCATTCCTTTCAAAATTTTTTAAAATTATATTTTATTTTTGATAACAATTTCATCAAAAAAGTTATTCGGTCAAAAGATGTGTGATATTAAAATTTGAATAATGGCGCTATTTGTATAATGCCGCCAATGCTTTTCTATTATGAGGCTTTCATGCATTAAATTTTTATAATTTCTATCATTAAAGTTAACGATAACAGTATGAATTGGATGCTGTTTGAAAATAAATCTTGAAATGAACCATTTGGAAGGAATTTTAATTTTTTTTTAATTGCTATATTTAAAAAATTTTATTGAAATTTTGTATAAAAAAGTATACGGAATGAAATGATATATAGTAAAAAAATCAAATTTGAATTTATTTAATATTTCCATTTTTTTTTTTATAACAAATAAAAACGAATCAGTTTGAGAATGATAATGAAAAAAAAAAAAAAAAATGAGAAAATTCAAATGTATGACAATTCTGATTCGTTCATTTATTTAAATTATGGCAAAAATTAAAATTTTATTATTGTCATAATATTCTTTTCTTGTTAATTAATATATTTTAATTTTCCTTATTGGAATTTAAAGTAAATGATACTTAATACTACTGATATAGCATTTAGTTTCAATTAAAATGTTTGTTGCTGCGATTATTTTTTTTTTCTTTTTTCATTAGAAATATTAGTGAATTTGCTCAAATTATTTGCTAATCATAAATTATTTAAATTAAAAAATTTTTATTTCAAAATTACATGCACAAAAATGGAATAAAATTATACAATGATTGGCTAATATAATTTAAATAAATAAATAAATGAACAAATAAACAAACAAACAAAGTAAAACATGCAATAATTTTATTTCAAAATTACATGAAATTAGCTTTGTAAATTTATATAACTCAAAATATTGTGAATTATTAAATCTGATATTTTCTTTTTTAGTGAAAGAAATAAAAAAAAGAATAATAAAAAGGCCTAAAGAACAAAAAAAAAAAAAAAAAGAAGAAAACAAGACTTATACATTTTAAAAATGCTTCAATAAAATGAATGAGAAAGAAATGGAGAGTTTGAAAGAGTTAAAGATGAATTGATAGGATGAAAATATTCACTTAATCTAAGAGATTTATTAAAAAGGCCTGATCTAATGGGAACAATATCTAAAGTATACATACATATAGGCTTTTTATAAATAAGCCAAGAAAAAGAAAAAAAAAATGAGAGAGAGACGGAAAAAAACATTTGCAATGAATTAAGCAAACGGTTTGGGCTATAGTTGCTGCATTTTTTTCAATTTTATTCTTTTATTTTTTTTTTATTGTTTATTTGCTTTCTTTCTTCTTTTCTCACAGAAAGAAATTTAAATAATTAATAAAGTGAAAAGTTTATAAATAAATAAACTGATTTAATGATTTTAAAGCCTTAGTAAACAAAAAAAAAAAAAAAAAAAGAAAGAAAGAAAGAAAGAAGCAAAAGGAAGAAATATAGCACAGTTAGTAGTAGTAAGTATTATTAATTACCTATTCTATCTATTCTATTCTAAATAAAATTCAGCTATTCATCTATCTATTTTAACTCCTCTATCTTTTCAATCTAACTAGCTAACTTACTAGCATACTAGCTAACTAGTTAGCTAACTTACTAACTTACTAGCTAAACAATCTACTGACTAACTCTATTCCTACACTATTTTGTCATATATAGCTTTTTCCCCTCTTTCTTTTTCCTTCTCCTTTTCTTTTTTTTTTTTTTTTTTTTGCGTCTATTTTAGTCAAAAATGATTGTTTTCTCCTATATTTATATCATATTTTTGATGAAGAATCGTTAATGACATACATACAAACATACACACATACATACATACATGCACACATACATATGCATACACGCATACATGCATACATACATACATACATACATATGCATAACATGCTTCGACATGCTTTTTTGCATGTCGCAGTTGAGAAGCTTTAAACTTCTGCTCGAGAATTCGTATTCGTCTTTCTTCCATTCGTAGTAGAGTAGAAAGCATATGTCTCTCTCTTTTCCATTCCATTCCATTTCAATTCATTTCAATTCAATTCATTTCAATTCATTTCAATTCAGTTCATTCCATTCTTCTATATTCCATCACATCGCATTATCCACTATAGCTTTTCCATTTAATCTCCTCATACTTTTACATATTTTCTAATCTATAACGAAACATTTTACCAATTTTACATTCTTTCTTTTCTCAATTTGTATATGTCTGTCTGTCTCTCTATGCTTATACGTCTACGTATGTGTGTGTGTGTGTGTGTGGGTGGGTGTATGTGTGTGTGTGTGTGTGTGTGGGTGGGTGGGTGTATGTGTGTATGTTTATATGAGTGTGTGTGTGTGTTTGCTCATTAGTCCATTTGTTTATTATCATTATTTACTTTTGTTTTATTATTATTATTTATTTATTATTATCGTTATTTACTACTATTTTATTTTTATTATTTATTTATCATTATTGTCATTATTTCCTATGTTATTATTGTTGTTATTATTATCACTAATTATTATTAATGTTTGTTGTTATTATTATTGTTATCATTATTATTATTGTTAACATTATTTATTATTATTATTGTCGTCGTTCTCTGCTATTATTATTGTTATTGTCATTATTTACTTTTATTATTGTTTATTATTATTAATATTACTATTATTATTTATTAATATTTCCATTACTATCGTTATTATTACTACTACTCTAGTGCTATTATCCGGTTGATTCCCTCACTAATATTTTGCTGACGTTGTTTTACAGGATGTCATGAAAAGGAAATTACTTTAACAGCTTCGTCAGTATGTCACTGTTGTGCGTCACCAGTAAGTGTATATGTATATCTTATGTTTATTATTTTTATCAAAATCGTTTATTTGCCAACAACATTAATTATTCCTTTGTTAGGGAAATGAAATTCTATAATAAATATTTTATAAGCATTAATGAAATATGCTAAATGATCATTTATTGTTTGATCTCTTTGGAAAACCAAAAATCAGAAAAAAAGAGAAGAAAAAAAAAGTAAACTAATAATATGACAAAATAAACAAATAAATAAATAAACAGTAAACAAAAATATCAGTTTAAGAGATAAGAAAAGTGATGGATGAATAGTATGAAAATAAGATAATAATATGACAAAAATTGTTGTGTCACATGCACATATATGCGTATTTACAATGGTCTGTAATAACCAGTAAACAATAAATAATAAATAGTAAATAAGTAAAAAACGGCAAGCAATAAAAAATTGACAATAAATGTAATAAAATCAAAAAAAGAAAAAATAGGCGCCAAACAATAAATAAAAATATCAACTGTAAATATGTAAATTAAAAAATGAATTAAAGAAAAAGTATTATAAAGTAAAAAGTATTATAAACTATTAATATTTATAACAATAAACAATAAAAGGAAATATTTCAGTCCGAAAGGCACGACTTCAAGGATCGCAAGGTTAGTTAGTAAACAATCTTATTAATTATTCTTTTATAATTATGCTATTATTAATTCCTTCTTTAATTGCTATTTTCAATATTTATTCTAGAATTTAATTTTTATATTTCATTTTCTTTTTTTTTTTTTTTTTTGGTTAAATTTGATTTTAGCTAAAATTTATCTTTTTAAATTGTTAACAGTTATAGAACAATATATTTTATATGTATCATTTAATGCCACTGATAAAAAAAAAATAAGGTAAAATTGCATAATTGTCATTAATTATTTTTTTTATCAGTCTTTTCATAAAATCAAAAATCTTTTCTAGCATATTTAATGAAAAATATCATTAAGATAATAAATACTTTGATAATAATAATAAATAAGTTTTTTTTTTTTTTTTTTACTTTTTAGTATCACTGATTTTAATATAATGTATTCATTTAATGATAATCTACAGATTATTCGAGAAAATATTTGATGAATAGGTAAAAATGAATGAAAATTTTTGTGATTAATTATCGATGCATGTTGATAAATGATACAACAAATATTCTGTAATATAATTTTTTTTTTTTCACTTTTTAATAAATTTTAAATAAAATTTTTAAGAAATGATATTTGTCAGTTTTACTTTACCTTTGCTAATTATTAATTGAACATTTATTGCTATAGCAAATGTTTTCATACAATTATTATATTCTTCTGATAATTTATAAATAATCATTGCTAAAATTTTTCTAAAAAATTTGAATAAAATTTATCAAAAAAATTTTAGGTCTACTGAATGAATATATATAATAGTAATAGAAGAATATAAAAGAGAATAAAAATAATAAATGAAAAAAAGAAGAGAAAAAAGAAATTTTGAAATGAATTTTTTAAATTAAATATTATTTCATTAAATGACCATAATTAAATAATCATTACTTTATTCTTTATCAAATAAATCATACATTAATCAATCGATAAAATTTTTTTAAAATTTTCCTAATCATTGTATATTAGTAAAATTATTGGCGGTAATGTTAACTAATATTTTATCGCAATAAAAATACCTAAAATAAATAATATTTACTCATAATTATTGAAATTTTTGTCTTTTTTTTTTTTTTCCTTTCTTTTCCATTTTTTTTGACTTTAAATTATGACATTTTTGAAAGATTTTCCTTTCAAACCGAAACAAAAAATAAAAAATAAATTTGCATCATTAAATATCAACGAGGATTTGTTTTTATTTTTTCAAAAAATTTTGCAAAAAAAGAAAAATGATGAAAATAAAAAGTCTGAAAAATTTTTTAGTTTAAAATAGTTTGATTAGCATAAGATAAATGCACGAAAATATTATTTATCAAAAATAGAAAATATTGAAATATTTGTGAAAAATAAAAAAAAAAAAAATAAAATTTATGATTTTTTTCTCATGCAATATAATATGTATTTTGTGTTTTGTTTTTTGTTTTTTGTTTTTTGTTTTTCAATGCATTAATTATAAATTAATTTTAACAATAAGAAGAAAATAGGAATAATGGAAATTTTTTAATAAAATTTTTTTAAAACAATTTTTTGACAGTTTTATATGCATTGATTAAGGCTTACGAACTTATCAAAATTAATAATAATTGAGTAATTAAATAATTAATAGGAATAAAGAGAAAAGGGCATCAAAATATCATTTTAAAAATAATTTTGCTCTTTTTTTCCCATTAACTCCTGCATGCATTTTAAATAATTTTCTCAGTAATTATTCGTGAAAAATATTTGAAATTAAATTTCATTACTAATTTATTTAATTCAAAACAAAAAATAATCATTATTTTGGACAAAAAAAAAATTTATTACGTTTTGTTTCTTCAAATTTGTCTAATTTTTTTTTTTTTTTATTTATGAGATGAAATGATTTATAACAATTTAATAAATTTGGTTTGAGTAATTTATTATGAATGAGCAAAATTGATTAATGATATATTTATTATTAATGAATAACTGGAATAAAAAAATCATATTTCTGTTTAGATTTCTTTAAATTTTTCGCTTTTTATTTTTTATTAATTATTGGTAATTTTTAATTGATCTTATCAATTTACTTTAATAACTCACCAATTTAAATATTTATTTGCAATTTTTCTTTTTTATTTTCATCTTATTTTTGTTTATTTAGCAAAAAAAGAAGAAATGAAACGAAAATAATTTTCACAATAAATTAATTTATTGCTTGTTTAGAGAGTTACCTTATCAAATTTATCAATCAATGCATTCATTCAAAATATTTAAATTTAATTTTATAATCTTTTTCTTTCCATTTTTCCACTTTTTTATTTTTCACCACAAGAAAGTGTTAAGTTGTACTCATAAATGAAAAAGATTATAAAAAAAAAGAAAGAAAAAAAAAAAATGCTAGTGAAATAAACAATACGCCGACAATGTTTATCAAAGAACTTTAATTAAAAGAAATGATAAGGTAATAATGGTTCTTATCAGCTTATCATTTATTTAGGGTAAGGTTTTTTTGATAATTTTTGTCACACATATAATATACAATTTAAAAAAAAAAAGCTGAATAAACGATGAATGTAGTAATTATTGTCAACGAATGTTAGCAAAATATTTTCTAAATTTTTAATACATTATTTAAGTATTTTGAATGTTGTATTACATTGATAACAGTTATCATTCTTATCATTTTGCTCAACTGTTAGGCAATTCATAAATTAACGATTTCTTTTTTTATGTCAGAAGTGTTTTAATATTACAATAAATAATGTTCTTTTCTTCTTTCTCAGTTAGCACAAAAATTTTTAGAAAAAATTTTGCACTCAAAAATTTGTATAAAATAAATTATTCATATTTATTAATAAATTAATTTTTTTTTTTAATTTCAAATTCATTTTTACTTACTTGATATCTTCTTAATTATCATTTCAAATGTATTCGCACAAACTGTAAGAATTTTTAAAATTTTGGTATCATATGAAAAATTCGAAATAAATTTATTTTAATTTTTTTAATTAATTTGTTTTAATGATGCTTATGTTATTTCAAAATTGTCGATTCTATTTCTTTACAAAATGTTATCATTTCAGGTTGTAATTTAGTAAATTTAGAGTAATAAAATTACTCTTTTTTTTTTTTTTATTCAAAAAATTTATTAAATACTTCTTTATATGTTACATGCATATTATCTTATCACATCTCAATATTTAAATAATTTATAAATTAATAAAATTCAATATTAGAGACAAATAAAATTAGAGAATAAGTAAATAATTTAGATTTTAGTAATGTTTAAGATTATTTTCAATGATTTAATCAATGTTTTATGCATCAAATTTGATTAGTACTTTATAAGAAATGAAATTTTATTTAAATAAATTGAAACTATTCCAATTATTATATTATTTAGAATTATTATGAGCAGAACATATTTTTATGCTCCTTTTTTTTTTTGATTATTTCAGTAAAAATTTTAATTTATGACTAAAATCAATTGCAATTTAAAAAAAAAAAATAATAAAATTAATTGATCAATTTCATTCTATTTCCATTTATTTACATTTTTTTCGTTTTCCTTTTTGTTTTTTTTTTTTTTTTTGTAAATTTTTTATTACTAACTTAAATTCTTTTTCTCTTTTTATGCATAATATTGACACCAATTTATTTTTAAAGATTTTTCAAATGTTTTTTCTTTTTTAACAAAATTTTTAGCAAATTAGTTTTCGTTTATTTCTTAATAAAGAAAAAAAAATTTTTAACAAATTTAATTTTAATTTTGAACAATGAAAAAAAAATTTTTTTTTTAACAATTTAATTTGATATTAATTTACAGATGAATTCAATTCATATGCTGTAGTTAAATTACAAAATGTTAAATCGACAACGATAGCAGTAAAAGGCAATCAACCATGCTGGGAGCAAGAATTCATCTTGTTCGATCCATCTTCTTTTTTTATTTTTTTAAAAAATCTTTTCTAATAATCCTAATAATTTAAATTTTTAATTCGTGTATGCACATGGTTATATGTGTATTTTTAGTTATATGTAATAACAAGAATGTTGGTAAAATAAACTTAGTAAATAAGTAAATGGTAAAGTAGGTAAGTAAATAAGTATTTGGTAAAGTAAAATAAGTAATGGTGAAGTAAAAAAATGAACTAAGTAAATAAGTAATTGGTAAAGTAAAAAGTGAGATAAAGTAAGTAAACAAGTAAAAGTAAGTTAGCTGATAACGATTACTGAAAAGGAGCGAAAAACTTTGGCCAAATAAAACTGATAACATTTGTCAAAACAAAAAATGATGAAAGAAAAATTAGCATCAAAATTATCACTAAAATTATCATTTCATTCCGACTTTTTTAAATTTGTGCTAATTAATGCAAATGATAATTACTGATAATTGATACATAGAACAGACATTAACAAATGTTATTTTTAAACTGTTAAACTGATAAAATGTTAAATATTCAGTTGGAAATTATTATTTAAAATAGAAATTAGCTGAAATTAGCCAAATACTTTATTGAATGATATCATTTTGTCTTAGCAGTTTAAAATGATAAAAACTCAGTGAAAAATAATGAAATTTATCGAATACATTAATAAATGTTATCAGTAATTAATGAAATGATAATGAAATAAATATTGAAAATGAAACAATTAGCAAGTGTTATCACTGATTGTTAACTGATAAAATGATAATGAACTGGTTAAAATATTGTTAATTTTATTTTTTATTATAGTGAAACAAATCGAATTGATAATGGTATGCTACTGGAACTTTGGAATAAAGGTGTCCTTTGGGATAAACTTCTCGGTAATTTATTTATTTTTCATTTCATCCTTCTTTTAAAGTTTAATTTCTCTTTTAAAAAAAAATTTTTTTTTTTTTTTTTTTCTGCGTGTATTCATGAGATAATTTCAAATTTAATGATGCAAAAATTATATTTTGAATTATATCTTTTCTAAGGATAATTGAATTCAAATTAATATAATGAACAATTAAATTAGTATATGTAAAATAATAAAGGGTGGATAATAGGAGAAAAAGGAATTAAAAGTATTTTGAATAAAAAAAATAATAATTTTTTAATGGAAAGAAATTAAATAATTTCAAATAAAATATTTTAAATTTCTATAAATTTTATCTGTCATTAAATTTTTAGTAAACTAAAGAAAAAAAAAACCAAACCTTGGATATATATATATTTTTGTGAAAAATTCATTTCATTTTTAATTTTAATGAATTATTTCATTACGTCTAATAAAGCCACGTGTTGATAAATAGATGTAAACAAGACGTATAGAATATTTTTTTTTTTTCACATAGCGTAGAATTTAATAATTTAGATTTTAGTAATTTTCTTTTTGATTTTAATAATAGTTGATTGTTTTAAATTTTAGTAAATTCTATTATTTAAATTTTAACAAATTCAAACTTTTAATTTATATCATAATTTGTATTATATCTATGTTTATATGTTTTTTTCTTTTTTAAAAAAAGGAATTTTTTTTTTTTTAAATAATCATTTAGTTATTTATTTGTTTGTTTGTTTACATTTGTAATAAATAGCAATCATTGATACAGTAAAGTCTATGGCTGATTCTTTTTTCTGTTTTACCTAATTCAGTTTAATGATTAATTCATTTTGGTGTTTAGATTCATTATTATTAATTTCTCGTTACTTTATTATTTCATTATGAATTCATTTCCAATTATATTATTAATTCATTTCATTAATTTCCAATTATTTTATAATTCACTATGAAATATGGTTTCCAATATTTTATTAATTCATAATTATCTTAAATTATTTAATTAACTCACTATTCGTCATAATTTTCAATTATTTATTCAATTCATTATTCGTCATAATTTCTAATTATTTTATTAATTTTATTTATTGTCATTAATATATTCAATTTATTATTCGTTATAATTTCCAATTCTTTTATTAATTCATTAATTTGCAATAATTACTGCTAATTACAGGTGTGCATTACTTAACATTAACATCGGTGCAGTACAGTAATGAAACAGGTCCTGGCAAGTGGTTACAAATTGATCAAGAATTAGAAACTCGAAATGGTCAAACGGTTGGAACAAGTCGTCCAACTGGGCACTCAATTTTAGTTGACGTACGCTTCGAACTGCCATATGGTTTGTTTCTATTAAATTTAAATTTTTATTTGTTATTATATTTTTATTTATTTATTTATTTTTTTCAACATATAACATTATTATATATTCATAAAGCAAATGTAATTACTAAATTTTGATAAATTTTTTTACAAATTTGTTGATTACGTGATTTTAATTTTAGAATGCTTTCTTATTAAAATTTTATAAATTTAATTTTCTTTTTTCTAAATTTCACAAACGCATTTTTTTTTTTTTTTTTTGACATGTCATAGTAACATTGACTTATTAATGGAAATTTATTCAAAATTAAAAGCTTTTTTTAATCATTTCTTTAATTGTGATAGAATATTTTTTCAAATAGATTCTAATTGCTATTTTAATTCTGAAAATTAATTATTTAATTAATTTTATAAACTATAGAATTTTTGAAAATTGCATCACTATTTGTAATTAATAATAATTTTTCTTGCTTTCGTTTATATTATTTTAAATTAAAATTTTGCCTCTCAATTTTTATTTTTATAATTAAATACAATTAATCAAAGTATTCCTTATACGTTGCAAAGCATTAGAAAAAAAAGGCAAAAGAGAATAGTTTTTTGAAGAATTCAAAAATTTAGATAAATGATTTAATTAATTTAGGAAGAAAAATTTTTGTGAAATTTCTGCTAGTGATAAATGATTTGATATGAATGATTGCTTGATAATAATAGCTATAATTCAAAATGCAATTTTCAATTTTTCTTTAGTTTTTTAATTTTTTTTTTTGTTTTTTTCATTTCTATTTATATTTTTATGAAAGCAAAAAGAGGAAAAATATTATGAATTGCTTAAAAAATTGCTTATATTTTTCTCAATTTTTTTTTTTTTTTTGATAAGCTTATAACATGCAACATTGATCAATCATTGTTAGATTTAAATGATAGCTTTCCATCTTATCTTTACAAAAAATTTTCTTTTTATTTCCTATGCATCAAATTTATCTTTCCCATATTTTAATTCCAATTTTTATTTGAAATTCAAAAAAAAAAAAAAAAAAAGAAAAACCATGGGATTTTTTTTTTTTTTAAATTACCTAACTATTTGAATAAAAATATAATTATTATTGAATATTTTATGTATCAAATTTGTCTTTTCCATATTTCAATTCCAATTTTTATTCCCAATAAAATTTAATTTCTTTAAAATTGGTTAGCTATTTGAATAAAAGTATAATTATTACTGAATGTATCAATTTCGTTTTTTTTTTTTTTTTTTTCATCCCAAAAAAATGAAATTTCTTAAAAATTAGTTAAATATTTGAATAAAAATATAAATATTATTGTGCTTTCTCTTCTAGAATATAAATATAAATGATATTAATTAATTAATTATTATAATTTTAATTTTTTCTTTACAGATGCACAAGGTGCTAATGCGGAAGAATTGCAAGAAAAATTGCAAGCATTAAATCGTCTCATCGAAATTGGTGTTAGTTTTTTTATTTTAATTTATTTTTTTAGTAATTAATTAATTTTTAACTAATTACAAAAAATTAGCAATTAATCATCTTATCTTAAATTCTAATTAATTTGGCAAATAATTATTAAAGAAAGGAAAACATAAATTTAAATTTCAAAAGAAATAAAAAAATTTATGAATATGTACAGAAAATTAGTTCATTCTTATCGAAATATTTTATTATAAACATCTTTTAGACCTGCAGTATTTACTATAAAGTATTAAAGCTTAAAAAATTTTGTAATTTAAAGTTTTAATTGGAGTGATCATTGGAAAGAAAATTTAACTTATTTAATAAAAATGAAATAAATAGTTGTATTTTTTTTTTTATTCTCTTTTTTTTTTTGTTCAAATTACTTAGAAAAGGGGAAAAATGAAAAAATCAAATATTTGTTTCAAAATATATGCAAGAAAAAAAATCGAATTTTTTTGGAAAAAAAAGTGAATGAAAAATTTTTAACGCAAATATGATTTAGAAGTTTTTTTTTTTTGCATATAAATAAATAATTTATAATTTGAAAATTTTTAAACTAATTTTCAAACAGAAAAAATATATATAATATATTTTTTTTTTTTTTTGGAAGTATTTTTTTAACAAATGCTTACATTTTCCTTTGAATTGTTTCATTTTTTTTAAATCATTTAATTGGCCTTCATTTTACGCTTCAATTTATATTATCAACGTACGTGTATTGTACACGTGTATTCACGCAATCATCTGGATACGAATTAAGAATTTAAAGCATTTTCATACGTTTAAATATATTTATCTTCAAAAAACGAATAAATTCGATGAGAGAGGTTTGGAAGATAGAGAGAGGGAGAGAGAGGAAAGAGTGAGAAAGAAAGAAAGAAAGAAAGAAAGAAAAAATGTTTGATAAAATGAAATTAAAAAAAAACAAAAAGAAAAACTTGAAAAAAGATAAATATACTAAATCTGCTTTTTAAATTTATTTTTCAAATTTTATTTTTGTGTTTTTTTTTTCTCTTAAATTTTACTTTCTTATTTTCATCTTTCTGTTATAAGTCTCGCTTTTTTTCTTTCATGAAAAATCAAAAAGAAATGAAATGAAATGAAAAAAAAAACAACAAACAAACAAACAAGCAAAAATGCACTTTTACAATTTTTTCTTTTGAGTTATTTAAGGAAATGAAAATGAATCAAAGCAGCAATCCATTTTAGACGAAAAGAAAAAAAAAAAAAATACAAATTGTCAATTTTAAACTAACAAATGACAACAAAAGAAAAAGATGAATGAATGAAGAAAAAGGAAAACAAAAATTAAAGATAAATAGCAAACTTTTCTTCTTCTTTTTGTTTTTTTTTTTCAATTCCCTTTTATTCACATTTTATCATTTTATTCTTTTATCATATCATTACAGTTAAAAGGGTATTGTAATTGAAAATAAATCAAAATGATATATCTAAGTCAAAATGATGTATGTGAATCAAAAATGAGTCGAAATTCTATGTGTGAGCAGAGTGGAATATGATTTACATATGAGTGCTTATTTTTGATTGTCTGAAACTGATTGATTGATTGATTGATTGATTAGACGATGGATTTATTGATTGACTAATTAATTAGTTAGTTGATGAATTAATTGTTTTATGCCAGCAAAATGAGGAAGCTATAATTTTATCGGATAATAGCAGTGGACTTTTTTTACAGCAGATATTATAATTGATTGATTGATTGATTATTGATTGATTGATTGATTAATCCATTAATTGACTGTTTGATTGAGTAACTGATTGGCTGATTGATTGATTGATTGATATAATTTTTTTTGCAGTTATTATCAAATGAAATATTATCATATCACCAAATATAAAATAATACCAAATGACAAAAAAAAAAAACTTATGATTATTTCATTATTTCGAGCGAAATACTAAACTTTTCAGTGCATAAAGCGAAATTTTCTTTTTCAGTTTAAAAATTTTCAAATATTTAATTGTTATGCTATAATTATAATTTGCAATATTGGAAAAAAACAGAAAAGAAAATTGAAATAAAATTTTATTTAAGATAAAAATTCTGAAATTAACATTGTTTCAGATATTAAATTATTACTTTTATTGGTAAATTGATTACTTTATCTGCTTCTTTTAATTGATTCCCTTTTTTTTTTTGTTTCATTTATTGTTTATTTTTCTTTCTCTCTTTGCCCCTCTCTCTCTCTCTCTCTCTTTCGTTCAATTACATTAAAATATCAGCATAAATTTCAAAAATTCTTAAGAAAAAAAAATTAAAATAGAACAAAAATAAAATATTTCCTAATAATAAAAAAATATTTTAATAAATTCTCTTATAGAAATTTCAACATAATAATAAATGACAATAATAATAATAAGAGTAAGAATAGATAATAATAATAGCAATATAAATAAATAAGCAAATAAATAAACAAATAAATAAATGAATAAATAATAACAAATAAATGAAAATGAATTGGTATGCATTTTCCAAATTGTCTGCTCAAAAAAGCACTTCAATTTTTTCACTTTTCTTTCTTTTTAAAAAATAACAAAAAAAAAAAGTTTTGAAAAAAGGAAAAATAAAAGGAAGAAAATATTCAAAAACTTATTGTTGACATTATTACTATTATTGGTACTTTGTTATTTTGTTAGTTATAAATGTTTACTTCCATTCTTTTATTTCCTTTTCCTTTCAAATTTGAAGGATATTTGTGAACAAAAAAAAAAAAAAAGAGAAAATTTGAAGCAAAATTTTTTTAAAATGAAAGAAATAAAATTGTTAATATTTTTTAAAAATAACTTATTAGAGCATATAAAGCAAATAATTGTGGTAATTAGTAATATTAGTTTTTGCAAAGTTTTTTTTTTTGGTTTTTTTTTTAGTAAAGCTATTTTTTTCCTACTTTTTTCTTTTAATTTTTATATAATTTCAGTTGAAATGAAACAAAAAGAATAGAGCAAAAAAAAAAATGTAAATAAAAAAACTGAAATGAAAAAAAAAAAATTAAATTGTGTTTATTTTGTTAATTTATGAAACGAAATCAATTGACAGATAATTTATTTACAGCTTCAAAATTTTTATGGAAAATTATCTTACTGAACGGAAATTAAATTTGGTCAAATGTAGAAATACTTTTTCTCTTTGATTATTTAAAATTGAATTTACTTACTTAATTTAATCGACAACATTTACTTGTGCTCATCAATCAAAACAAATAAAAATGGAAAATCTTTTGATAATTATATTTTCTCTCTTTTCGTTTTTAGTTACGGAAAAGAGGGAAAAGTGAAAAAGAAAAAGAAAAAATTAAACGAACAATAATTTTATTTTTAAATTTTAAATTTGTAACTGTAAATAACAAAATGATTAGATGTAAATTATAATTAGAAGTAATCATATACTGTTATCAAAATTTATTATTAAACTTTTTCAATATTTTTTCATAAAAAAATAAAGTAAAAATTATATTTTTACTTTATTTATATTATTAATGTAAAATTTACAATAGATTTTATTTTCTTTCTTTCGCTTTTTTCCATTTTTTCGTTTTATTCATTTTTTATTTTTTGTTTCGCATTTTATTAAATGATGAATTTATTGATAATAGATCGATTGATAAATTGGTCGACTAATTAATTAATTTCATTTTTCTAATAAACGATTTTTAAAAAATTTAATAAATATGAGCAATTTATGAAATATTTGATAAAAATGAGGACACATTTTTTTTTTGTTAAATAAATGACATAGATATATCTTTTAATTTTAATTTTATTTCATTTTAAAATTAAAAAGATTTTATTGTTGTTCTTTAGTTCTCGAAAGAATATTATGGCATTATTACTATTATGATATTATACAAACTTAACAATGATAATGATTTATAAATGATTAGTAATTGTGATCTTGTTTATGAATAATCTACTGATAACTAGTGGTTTGAAATTTGTTTATGACAACGAGCTATAATCAATTGATAGCGTAATTTTCATCGTGATAATAACTCATAGACGATTAATAATTTCAAAATTAATAATGATAATGACCTATAGATAACTGATTGTTTCATGTTTGATTGCGAGTTATAATCGACTGATAACATAATCTTAATCGTGATAATAAACTTATAGATTAATAATGATAATGACCTATAGATAACTGATTGTTTCATGTTTGATTGTGATAACGAGTTATAATCGACTGATAACATAATCTTAATCGTGATAATAAACTTATAGATTAATAATGATAATGACCTATAGATAACTGATTGTTTCATGTTTGATTGTGATAACGAGTTATAATCGACTGATAACATAATCTTAATCGTGATAATAAACTTATAGATTAATAATGATAATGACCTATAGATAACTGATTGTTTCATGTTTGATTGTGATAACGAGTTATAATCGATTGATAACATAATCTTAATCGTGATAATAAACTTATAGAGGATTAATAATCAAGTTAATCATGATTTATAGCTTATTTATTCTTTTTGCCATATCATTGGCATTTGCATTTATTAATTTTTCATCCATTCATTTCTAAAATTTCACAGTTTCAGGATCACTGGCAAGAAGAACGTGCTCCATTAATACGTTGTAAGTATTAATTCTTTAAATTTATTCTCATTAAAAAAAAATTTTATTACAATTTTTTAAGCAAAAAAATAAAAAATAAAATCATTGCACAATTTATATTTCTTTTTATGTATTTTATAAAGGGAGTAAGAAAGAAAGAAAGAGAGAGAGAGAGAGAGGTAAAGAGAGAAGGAGGGAAAGAGAGAGATCGAAATTATTAGCATTTATTCTTGTTTTCGAACTTTTTTCAACAAAAATTCTATTTTTATCCTTTGCAAAAAAAGAAAGAATAAATAATTTTATCAAATAAAAATAATTACTGAATGCTTAGCGATGATTTGTTTAAAATTAATTTTCACTTTAATTATAATAAATTTTATTATTATTATTTATTCAAATCAAAAAAAGAAAAAAGTTTTGTTTATATCAAATTCTAATTTGAAATTAATATAAACAGATTTGTGTTTCTTAAAAATGGAAATAATTAATTAATTAATTAATAACACATAAATATTAAAGTTATAAGTGAAATTTTATCGGTTTTAAAATTTGAACTACAAACTTCATATCTTTTTTAAATAAGATTATAAAAAATAAAACAAAATAAAAATAAAAATTGCTTTTATTTCAGTCAGCAAATAGACCAGGCAATATATGAAATATTTATCAAAATTGTTGACATTTGGCAAAAAAAAAATAGAAAGTCCTTTAATTTTAACTAAAAGTAAATTTTGAGCATCTTATCCTTATAATCTGCTAATCTTAAAATCTTTTGTTTTATTTCTTAAAAAAAAAAACAAAATTTCTGTTTTTGTTTTAATTTGAAGGAAAAAATGAATTTGAAAATTAAAATATATTCATTGGATTAATTTGAAAAAGAAATTTAAATTTCAAAATCTGTTATTTTCTTTCTTTTCTCTCCGAATTGTGAATGTTATTTCAATAATAATTAGATAGTACTTTTCAAGCTATCAAAATTAATGATAATTAGAATCATTTATTGAAGTAAATACTCAAATTTAATAGGAATTTAAAAAAAAAAAAAAAAAAAAAAAAAAAAACATTCGCAGGAATTTTAATTTGTCGTTTAAAAAAAAAAAGGAAAAATTCTGATAACTTATTAAAGTTTTCTGTTTTTTTTTTTTTTTCATCATCGAAAATAGATAAAATATTATGCAAATTGATAATAATTGATATCATTTTATTATCATTATCATTGCTTAAAATGAAAATGAAATGATCAAAAAAAAAATTTATTGCTAACATATAATTTTATGTTTGTTTTTATTTACAATTTTTTAATCTTTTTGAAAATTAAAACAAAGATTCGTCTTTTTCATTTTTTTTTTCTCAAATTCAAATACAAATACATATATTAGAATGTATGGTATATTCGAATTCAAATGTATTACTTTAATTTTCTTTTTTTTTTTTTTTTTTTTCATTCATTGTAAAAAATTTTCGTTTCCTTTGATTTTTCTCTTTCATTTTTTTTTTCTTTCTCTCTTTTCATTTTCCGTTTTTTCTTCTTTTACAGCTGGTATTTCGGAAGATTCTGATTATACATCAGATGTATCATTTCCTGTCCATCATCCAAATAGTTCGGCACATCAATGGTACAGTCATTTGCATCAAAATAAACGACACCAACGACAATACGACAAGAATCTTTTACCATTTGAACAGGTAATTTTAAAAGTACTAAAGAAAAAGAAAAATAAATAAATAAATAAATGAATAAATTCCAATCAATATGTTAACAATTTCAATCAATTTTAATTCTTTAATGCTAGAAATGGTATTCATTTTTATTAATATTAGAAATGGAATTCATTTCATTAATATTAGAAATGGAATTTATTTTCATCCATATTAGAAATGGAATTTATTCTCATTAATATTAGAAATGGAATTTATTTTCATTCATATTAGAAATGGAATTTATTCTCATTAATATTAGAAATGGAATTTATTTTCGTTAATATTAGAATTGGAATTTATTCTCATTAATATTAGAAATGGAATTTATTTTCATTAATATTAGAAATGGAATTTATTCTCATTAATATTGGAAACGAAATTTATTTTCATTAATTTTAGAAATGGAATTTATTTGATAATTTTTTTTTTTTAATTTCAATTAATTTCAACTCATTCATTAATGTTAGAAATAGAATTTATTCAACAAAATCTTTTTTTTTTTCCTTGTTATCCATTAAATCGCAATTTACAAATGTTTTGCATTAGAAAATTTAATTTAGAAAAAAATTGGGAATTTTTTTTTATAATCTATGAGAAATTAATTGAAATTAAAAAAAAAAAAAGTCACAATAAATTATTTAAATTCAAAAATACAAAGGAAAAAAAAAAGGATATTATAAATTTGAGAAAATGAAGAAAGAATAAAGAAATTTAAAGCTAAAAAAAATGTAAGGTAATTTTTTAAATTTTAAAAAATGAATTAGTAATGAAGAAGAAAATTATTTCAGCTACTGATTTTTTCTTTTTTATAAGAAAAAGAAAACATTTACCGTTTGCTATTTTTGATTTCATTTTTCTTTTTTCAATTTAAAATATATTTTTTTTCTCCAAAATAATTGCCATATAAGAGATAAATTTGTAAGCCTTATTTATCAGTTAATCAAATAACCCCGCTATGAGCGGGTATACCAGAAAATGTTAAGAAATATAGAAGTGATAACTGATAGCACAATCAATTATCACTTCATTCATTTATCTATCTAATCCATCTTTACACTTAACATTTCTTTTTATTAAAATTTTACACTAAGCTTTCGTTATTAGTTAAATAGATTTTTAATTTTTAGCTTTTAAGATTATTGTTTCTGAAATTTTTTTATAAAGTTTTGCTTTTTAGTTTGCTCTTTTATTTTGTTAAGAATCATTTTATAAATTTTGATTTCATTTTTTTTTTTTCAAATTCTTCTCCTTTGATTATGACTATATTATAATAATAATAATTAAAATTGCAGTCATCATTATTGGTTATTATTGGTATCTACTATTACTTTATTATTCATTATTATTATTATTATTATTATCACTATTATTATTGCTCTTACTGTTATTATCATTTTATAATTATCATTATTACTAATACTATTGTTACTCACTAATTATTATTATTATTATTACCTTCACTCTCGAATTTCTTTTGCTTTTTGGAAGAAATCTTCCTTTCTTTTTCGTTGAATTTTTGGAATTGAAGTGATTAATTCCACTTAATTATTAGTTACTTTGATTTTTGATTTTTTTTTTCTTTTTTAAAAAAAGTAATGATAGCAATAAGCATTAATTATTAATTATCCCATGAACAGATATTGCAGGCAAGTTATGAAGATGAAGAAGATGCCTATCGACAACAATTCTATCCAGATGATAGTGAACAAATTCAAAAATCAAGTTTGTCAATTCTTTTCTTTCTTTAAATTGAACTTTAATTAAATTAATTAAAGTCAATTACCTTTTTTTTTAATCTTTATATCATAAATTTTTATTCAAATTTTGCTTTTTTTTTGTAATAATTATTTTGCTACATAATGATTTCATTTGAAATTGATTAAAGCAAAAGGAATTTTATCTATTAAATGAAATAATTAAATAATTCTGTTAATTGAATGAAATAATTATAATATAGTAAAATATTTATTACGGAAAAAAAAAAAAAGAAAGGATTTATCCTAACATTAATTTATGCATATTTATTCAATAAAACTATTTTTGCCTTCAAAATAATTCATCTTCCTAATCATCGTTATCTTTACGAAATTACATCTTTACTCTCTCTCTCTCTCCCTCTCTCTCTCTCTTCCTCTTTAATTATTTTTAATTTTCAAATAACTCACTAACTATCATCGATCAATAACAATTCATTCATGCATTTAATTACTTCATTACCTTCTTATTCACTCATTTATTCTAATTTAAATTATTTCTCATTTTAATTTACACTTCCAAATGATATACACTAATTTTTCTTTTTTTTTACATTCGATCAGTTTTACTTTTTCTTTTTTCCTTCTCCTTTTCCTCCTCCTTTTCCTCCTCCTTTTCCTTCTCCTCTTCTTCTTTTCCTCCTCCTTTTCCTCCTCCTTTCCTTCTCCTCTTCCTTCTCCTTTTCCTCCTCCTTTTCCTCCTCCTTTTCCTTCTCCTCTTCCTTCTCCTCTTCCTTCTCCTTTTCCTCCTCCTTTTCCTCCTCCTTTTCCTTCTCCTTTTCCTTCTCCTTTCCTCCTCCTTTTCCTCCTCCTTTCCTCCTCCTTTTCCTCCTCCTTTCCTTCTCCATTTCCTCCTCCTTTCCTCCTCCTTTCCTCCTCCTTTTCCTCCTCCTTTTCCTTCTCCTTTTCCTCCTCCTTTTCCTCCTCCTTTTCCTCCTCCTTTTCCTCCTCCTTTTCCTTCTCCATTTCCTCCTCCTTTTCCTCCTCCTTTTCCTCCTCCTTTTCCTTCTCCTTTTCCTTCTCCTTTTCCTCCTCCTTTTCCTCCTCCTTTCCTTCTCCTTTTCCTTCTCCATTTCCTCCTCCTTTTCCTCCTCCTTTTCCTTCTCCTCCTTCCTCTCACTCATTTCCTTCTTTCTCTCTTTTTTGTTTCTTTCTTTTTTTCAAAGGCAGAGATTTTTTTCTCATTTTTATTCAAAAATTATCAGTTCTACATTACCTCTTTATCCTTCCTATTTTGTTTTTTTTTTCCTTTCCTTTTTTCTGTCATACGTCACAGCCACATTTATTCTCGACGATGTCACTTCCTTCTCTTTCCATTTCTTATTTGTCAATTGTTTTTTAATTCCTATAAACATCTGCCAGACACCGACACACCCACACACATACATACATGCATACATACACATGCATACACATACACACACATGCATACACATACACATACATATTTCTAATGGAAATTTCAATTTCATCGTATACTATAAATTATTAATATTTCTTTGTATAGTAATAGTGATAATAAAATATTATATATCAGTTAAAATTAATATTAAAATTAAAAAAAAAAAGAAATTTCCACTTTTTTTTTGGCATGAGGTGAAGCTTTTAAAATTTTATTTCATAATTAATTATTAATTAAAAATTTTCAAAATTTGATTTTTTAAAGTAAACAATTATTAAGAGAAATGATAATTCCTTTTTTTTTTCGTTTCTTTTTGTTACAATAATATTATTTGTAAATTTATTCTAAATCCATTTACTATTTATTGGAAAAACATTTCATTTTAATTTAATCATTTAATTGTTTCATTTAGTGGCTTTGTAAATGTTTTCAGAGATAATTAAATTTCTTTTTTTTTTGCTTTTTTTTTTTTTTTTTATTTTTCATAAGATTTGAATGAATGATGAATTTTAGCTGAATATTATGATGATATGCTTGGTTATTCAACGGAAGTAAACGCTTCGCTATCACGTCATCAATATTCACGTGAAACCGTAAGACAAGAATCTATGTTACGTAATGTTTATAATATTGAAAATAATGATGAATATGATCGTTCGGAGAGAAATCGGAATAGTTTAAAGTCATTTTTTTTTTTTTTTTTTTTGCATTTCACATTTTTCCTATATTTTTTTTTTTATTTAATTATAAATATTGAATTATATTTTGATATTTAATTGTTATTAAGTGTAAATATTAAATTATATTTTGATAAATTAATTGAAAATTTAAATCAACAATTTTTGAGAACTATGTATTGAAATATTATTTTAAAATTTAAAAAAATTAACAAAAATATTATTTGTTATAAAGAAATTAATGCTAATTCAGTTAGTGATAAATGATAATGATTACTTGTAGCTATGATAATGATTATCATGATAGACATTATTATGATCCAGTTGAACAATCAGATGATTACTTTCATCCCAGTACATCTGGTGAGCAATATCAAAGTGATGAATATCATAATGATAATGAAGCAAGGTGTCTTTTTACTTTTTCAATTATAAAATTTTAAATTCTTTCATTTTTTTTAAATTAGATTTTAGAATTATTTTCTTTTTTTTGAATCATAATTTTACATAAAGTAATGATAAATATAGCAATTAGCACTGATAATGAGTTATTATCAGTAGTTTTAGTAAAAAGATTTGTAATATTTTTAATTTTCTTTTTTTTTTTTTTTGAAACCAGAATTCTATTTAATGCTTAATTTTATTTTTATTGATAAAATTTGCGATAAATATATTTTCAAATCAAAATGTTATATAAAATATGTTCAATGTTTGACGTTGAAAAAAACAAAATTAAATTGTTAGCTCACTAATTAGTTCTGATTGAATTTTTATGTGACTAAAAATTTTCTAATATTTATCAGTTAATTAATTTATTATTGATACTTCTTCATTACTATTTTTTTTTTTTAAGTTATTGTTATAATATATTTTTGTTATCTTTTATATTATTATTATCATTATCATCATTGTTATTATTATTGCTAGTACTATTATTATCATTTTTTTTCTCCAGTTAAAATGATAAAAATACGTATTCAATTATTCTTTATCAAAAAATTCCTCTAAATAGCTTACGCATAATTCTTTTGTTGGATCATTTTACTAATTTTTTTTTTTTTTTCAAAGTTTTTTCCACTTATTTTCTTCTTTTTATCTTTTTTCTTCTCTTTAACTGATTTTCTTACCTCATTTTTTTTTTTTTGATAACTAATATAGTAATTTTAATTCTTTACTTTTACTTCTTTTTTTCTCTATGCTTTTCATTTTAGCTTAAATTTAAATTTTGATTAGTATATTTTTCTATGAAACAAATTATAATTGATAACAAAAGGACATTTAATTTGTCACATCTTTTGCTAAATATATGATACATACTTAGGTTTTATTTGATAATTTCTTATTTAATAAAAAATTTGTTTTAATTTTTTTTCCTTTATTTTAATCAGAAATTTAAATTTTATCAAAGCATTTGATTAATTATTTGCCAAATATGATAAATTATCAGTTATTATCAGTTTTGTATAGTGTACTATGCTATCGTTATAAACAAATTTAATTTTTAGTATTATGAAAGATTTTATTATTAAAAATATAGTGCAAAGGAATACTTAAATGATGACTAATTAAATTTAAAATATAATATTAAACTAAATAGTTTTGTAATTTATTTCAGTAATGAACTGATAATTGTTTTTTAATTAATTATGATAAATTTTAAATTAACAATTATTTAAATGTTAATAATTTAAGAGAACAATGGGATGATGAACAAAATATGGATTGGACCGAAGAACAAGAACCATTATCATATAATAGTCGTCCACAACTAATACATCAAAAAATGTTTCCAATGCGAAGGTTAATTATTATTATTATTATCTAATTAAAAAAATATAATTTAAAAATTTGTAATAAAATTTAAATATTTCAAGAGTAAAAAAATAATAATTCATAATTTACAATGAAAACTTTTTTGTTTTCTAAATTTAAATCGCAATGTGTTATAAATTTTTACAAATATATTTGAATTAAGCTTAAGTTATATACATTTCAAAAATTGACAAAAGAGGAAGAAAAAAAAAAAAAAAAAAAAAAAAAAAAAAAAAAAAAGAAAATGAAAAGAAAATTGAAAAATCAATATTGCCATATAAATATAAATAATAATGAAAACATTAATATTTATATAAAAAGAAATGAGAAAATTGATTGCTAATATTTTTAAAAATAAATGATAACTAAAGATATCAATGATAATATAATTTAAATTTATATAACAAAAAAAAAAAAAAAGGAAAGAAAGTAAAAGTATGTTGTTGAATGTTATGCTATTATCATTATTATTTAAAAGTGTAACTAACTGATATGTCTGTAAAATTGAAGTGAGCTTAATTTGCAAAAGAATTTTATTAAAGTTTGACTTTTTTTTTACTTTGTTGTGTGGTTTAATCTATGAAATGCTTCTGCTTTAAAATTTGATTCGTTTTCCTTTTTTAAAATATTTTTGTTGATAAAATCATTCTTTCTTATGAAGGCATTATCAATGATGATGATGATGATGAGGATGGTGATGATGATGATGATAATAATGTTGATGTTGATGATGATGATGATGATGATGATGAGATTTGGCATGATTATTCGACAGTAATGCAGTGAGTCAATAATCTTTCTTTCATCTTTTCATTCATCATTTAAAATTGAAAAAAGAAAAAGTAAATAGGTAATAGATTGAAATGATAGTTTCATTCAGTTCTTCATATAAATCAATGATTAATAACAATAACAATAATAATGTTAATGATGATAATAATTAATATCAATAACAATAATAATAATAAACAGTAGTATTAAACAATAATAAAAAAATAATAACAGTAATGAATATTAGTAATAAATAATAATTAAAATAATTTTAATAAATGATGAATGCAATTAATAATAGTAATCGGAATAATGGCAGTGTACAATAAATGATGCCAAAAATTAATTTTTTAATTTTTTTTATTTTTTTTTTAAATTAATATTTTTATATTTAATCATATTAATAAAAAAAAAAAAAAGACAATAAAAATTTTTTTTTGTTAAATTATTTATAGCAATGATTTTTACAGGAATAAATCATCTACATTAACAAATCAATATGATATGCCACCAACAGAATCAGAACATGAATCATTGGATCATCCTGAAATGAATCATTATTATATCAATGATTTAAATAATCATCAATTAAATTTCACTAATCAACAACTACCGAATGGTTCAATTAATAATTTTGATCAAATACGATATGATCATAACAAGCAATATTCCATCAATGAAAAGTATAATTTATTCTTTTTTAATTATCGTTTTCGTTTCTATTTTAATCATTTTTTTAAATTCAATTATATATATTATAATTGTAAAAAAAAAAATTATTATTATTGATTTTATTCAAATGTTTCAAATATTTTAACTTCTTTTTCTCTTATATTGATTAGTTTAAAATTTATTTTAATTATTATTTTTAATTCAATTATATATTATATTTATAAAAAAAAAAATGTTATTATTATTGATTTTATTTAAATGTTTCAAATATTTTAACTTTTTTTTTTCTTTTTAGTTATTGAAAAGTTTAAAAATTCCTTTTTTCTTCTTTTTAAATAAAGAATTCTATTTTTATATTAATTTGTTTACATTGTAGACAAGAAATAGAAAATGAACTTAATGAGGCGCAATGTTCATTTGAGCGCCACAATAATGATGAAATGCAATCGAAGATATTAAAAGTGCAATTTACAATGGATGATAATCAGCAAATGTATGACTGATTAATTTTATTTTCCTTTTCTACAATTTCTAGAATAGAAAAAAAGAATAGAACTCAAATATTAATTAAAATTTAAATATTATTTTAAATTAAGAATGCATATTTCATATAATATATCAAAATTTAACAATAATAATTAAAAAGTTAATTAATGAACATATATTACTAACATTAATAGTAATAGTAAAAAAAATTTCACACATCTAGATTTGATATTAGACAAAAGTGAAACATTTAAATTTTCAAAAAAAAAAAAAAAAAAATGAAAAATATATTGAATTTATGTTAATGCATTTGTAAAAAAAAAGGAAAGATGAAAATGAAATCAAAAAAAAAAAATAATAATTTGAAATATAAAATTAATTTTGCTGTTCGCAAGATTTCTGTTCAGAGAGAGGAAGAAGAAAAGAGAATTAAAAAATGGTTTAAATTAACAAAAATGAGTTAAAAATGAGCAATTAATAATTTTTGTTTAGTGATATTATTGAATACTTTTTATTAATGAATGGAAATAATTTAAATTGCTATAAAGTTAGCATTTTTTTTTTTTTTATTTAAAAAATTTTATTCAATGTAATAAACATTGTAATTTTTTTTTTTTTTGAATGCAAATTTTTGCTATGAAATAAATTGTGTGATAAAAGAAATATTTGATTTGATAAACTGTATTAATGATGATCAATTGAGCTGAAAAGTTAGTAATTAAAATTTTTTTAAATTTTTTTTTTCCAAAAATTCGTTAAAATTTTATTTTCTAAATTGAAAAATATACAAAGAAAAAAAAAACAATTATTTTTAGGAATGAAATTGAAAGGATTAATGAAGCCGAATTGATATTATCAAAAAGAAATTATAAAAATTTATGGCATAAAGCTTATGAGGATACATGTCGAATACTTGGAATTAAGGTTGCATTTTGATTTGTTTTTGTTTATTTTTTTTTTAATTCGAAATATTTGAAATTTTTTTTTTTGCTTTTTTTTGTTACAAAGAATCAATGTGTTTTAGATTAGTTAAATTTAATTTATGAAAAGAGAAAACAAATTAAATTGCTACTTTACGATTATTATAATTTTAACATGCAGAATATGCGCATTTCTTCATTGATAAAAGGAAAAAAAAAACGTTTGCACTTCAAATTTTATTAAAACAAAGGTATTACAAAGTGAAATTACTAATGTTTTTGTTTAAATTTGAAAAAATAAAATGAATTTTTTTAATAAAACTTCAAACAATATTATTTTACATTAATGGAATTAGAAGATGATTTATGCTTATTAAAAAACTTTTGAATTTTTACAGAAGCAAAATAGAAAGTAATATTCTAACAATTATTTTTTCTAATCATCATGACTTTTCTTTTGAATTTTCTAATTTATATCCCCATCTTTTTCATAAATTCTAATTTAACATATGTTAAAATTAGTTCTGGCTTAATTAATTTAATTCATTGCAATCGAATTTTTAAACATTTTGCAAGAAAATTTACTTCTACTTATTTTAAATTAAATTATTTATTAATAGTAAGTAAAAATAGGCACTTGTAGATGCTGTTCAGTGATAATAATATAATTTTAATAATAATGCTGATGCTGATAACAGTGATGACAACGATAATGATAATAATAGTAATAATAATAATGAAAACAATGACAGTTATGATATACTGATAATAATAATAATATAATGTTAATAATAATGCTGGTGCTGATAGCAGTGGTGACAGCGATAATGATAATAATAACGATGACAACTGTGATATATTAACAATAATAATGATATATTAATAACAAATAATGATAATATTAATAGTAATAATAATAAGAATAGGAATATAATAATAAATAATAATAGTGTAATAATATGCAATAATAATAATAAAAATATTATTAACAATTGTAATAGCAATAATAACGATACTAATAACAATAAAAGTTATTTTGGAAATAAGTTTAAAAATTAAAACAGAATATTTATTATTAATATTTAGAAACAACAAAGATGGTTTTAATGTAAAATATTTTTTTCAAAATATTTGCAATATTTTCATAATTTTCAAAACAGAGAGAAAAAAAAAATCGAAAGCATAAGAACGAGAAATTGAATTAGAGAGAATTCCAAAAAAAAAAAAAAAAAAATAAAAAAACAAAAAAACGTATTTTCAAAAATCGAAATAGTATATTTTCAAATTTTTTCTGCAATTTTTCTTTCTGTTAGAAAAAAAATTGAAATTTAAAAAATTTCAGCATTCCCTAACATTTTTAAGTTTGAAAAGATAGAAATGTTGCTGATCCTATTCCTATTCTTTTATTGCTATCAATTTTGTCATCTTGTCACTTTTAATCTTGAAATGTGACATAGTAGCAATGAGTAAAGGCTTTTGTGGACAAAAAAAAAAAAAAAAAAAAAAATTAAAATTATTATAGATGGCTTTTATAATACCTGAAAATTTGAATATTACTCACAATATACAGATATCTTGGAGAAAATTAAATTTGAATTGAAATTGATTAATTAATTGTTTAAAATTTAATTCTATATTTGGAGTGAGATATGAAATGAACATAGGAAAAACTTATTTCATCATTATCATTTATATTTTTATGATTATTGTTGCTTATTATTTTATTATTATTTTAATAACAATTATTATTATCACTATTATTATTATTATTATTAGTGTGATTAATCATCATTATTATTGTTGTTAATAATTATTCATTATCAACATTCTTATTGTTGTTATGAAAAAAAAAATTATTATTATTATCTAAAAATACTTATATATAATTGTTTATTTCATATTGTATCTGTTCATTAATTTGCAGTTATCATATCTAATTTAGCACAATTTTTATTTTCAAATAGAAAAGAAAAATTTATTTTAAATTTTAAAAATGCTATTATATATTTGTTTGAAAAATATTATTTTTATTATTTTATTATTAATTTTTTCTTTTTCTGTTTGTTAAAAACAGTAAAATGCCTTCGTTTTCTTACTGATCCATCTGCGATTCTAATTTCACTTTTTTTTTTTTTTTTCCTGAATTAATATTGTTTGGGTTCATTAGAGGATGAACTTCTAATTCACAAGTATCATATTTCATTTTCGTATCATATTTTCTAATTTAAGAAAAAGAAAAATCCTATTTTAAAAAATTTAAAAAACGAAATATTTTGCTTATTTTATTTTGGATAAATTTTGTCAACAATTCTTGAAACATTTATCATAATCATATTATGTTCCTTACGGAATTTTAGTTTTAATTATCTGTTCATATATCATAAATTATTAGCAATTTAATAGCTTTTGCTAATTACATTTGGCTGCATTTATTTAAACAATTTTGATAATGTAAATTAAATTTTTTTCAAAACTGAGTTTTTATTGATTTAAAATACGATTTCCACTATTAAAAACAAATGCATTTTTAAAATTTCAAACTAATGCCAAATAATTGGTCCATTTTCGATAAATTTTCAAAAATTACTTCTTTACAAAGGAATTTGTTTTAACTAATTTTTATGTAATCATTTCATGAAATATTGAAAATGAATTGTATTATTTCAATTTAAACAAAATAAAACGGTTTTGTAATAAAAAACAAAATAAAACGTTTGGAACAATTTTTTTTTTTTGTCATATTTTAAGAAAATAAATGAGATTTAAAAAATTATTTTTGTGATAGAAATGCAATAATGTTAATGAAATGTTTAACATGGATATGATTTTTGAAAATTTATTAAAAATGAAACAATTTTTATAGTATTTTCTTAAATGCTTCAGAAAAATTTTGACCTAAAATTATTACTAAAATCATTGAAATCAGAAAAAAATTTTATAAATGAAACTAATGTAAAATAATCATATTTTTGTTAAATAATAACACAATTTCTTCTTTTTTTTTTTTTTTTTTTTGAAAAAAAAAAATAGTATTTTTTAAAAATAAATACTTGGAAGTATGATATTAGAATGATAATAGAATTATGATAATTAAATATCTCATTTAAGGTATTATTAATGAATTTAATTTAATTTTTTTTTTTTTGAAAAAAGTATTTAGAAATAAAACTTTTTAGAAATAAATACATGAAGGAATGATAATAGAGGTATGTTAATTAAACTGATATGATAATTAAACATCTAGATTCAAGTGTGATAAATTAGATGATAATAAGTTTAATATTTGCAAATTTTGATATAATCATAATTCATAAAATCATAAAAAAAAAAAAAAAGATATAATCATAAAATTTATGCTAAGGTAAAAAAAAAATGATGGATGCAAGTTAGAGAGTGAAAATTGTTTGAAATATTATGCATTCAGAAAAGAAACAAATGAAAAAGGAAAAAAAAAAGATTTGAATGATTAACAAGTATGTTGTTTATCATTCACTTTTGCAAACATTTTTAAACAACAAAATGATAATAGCAAAATCTTTTTGAAAAAAGCAATTCTTAAAAATTCTTCTCATTCTTTCTCACTCATTCATTCACATATTCTTTTTCTTCCTCTTTCTTTCTCTCTCTGTGTCACTCTCTGTCTCTCTCTCTCTCTCACACAGACTTACTTAATTTTATTGGTTTTATTTTTAAAATAAGCCAAGATTTCTTGGCATTTTAAATTGCATCTAGCAACTTATTATTATTTTCACACTCAAATATTTTTTTTCTTTTCTGACATATATGTGCAATATTTCTTGCATTCTCTAGCTGTTTTTTCTCTCTCTCCCTCCCTCTCTCTCTCTCTCTCTCACTTATTTAACATTTCTAATTTTAATCCATAAAAATTGTTTGAAATTTTTACAATGTTGTTTCTTTTTTTCTTTTGTTCAACTTTTTTCTTTTTGATGCATAATTTTCAGAAAGAAAAAATAAATAAATAAAAATAGAAAAGAAAGAGGAAGAAGAAACAATTTTATTCTTCCAATTATGAAAATGCTCCATTTTTTATTTTTTTTTTTTTCAAATTCTTTTTCTATTTTTTTTTTTTTTTTCAATAATATTTGATGAAAACTTAAATTTCAAACAGATTTAAATTTTCATACAAAAAATCCTTTATTTAATACCTACTAATAGTTTTTTTTAATAATTTTTAACTGCTATTAATTTATATTATCAATTTTATATATTAGCATTTTTTTTTTTTTTTTTTTTATTATTAATTCTTTTTCTTTTTTTTCACTTTAGTTTATATTTCTAATAATTGAGTCAATGAATAATTTAATATTTTGATGATTAATTGAAATTACTTTTTAGCAATTCAAATTTTCTCATTTCGTTTTGTTTTATAAACTTATCATTTGATTAAATCGAATTGTAAATTTTTAACTAAAATTTGTTGACATTTATTTTTGTTTCCTAAACACTTTATTGTTAAAATAATTTTTTCCTTTAGCATCTTTTATAGTAAATTTCTTTTTTTCGTTTTAAAGAAAAGATTTTTTATAATTTTTCTTTTTTGTTTTTGAAGTGAAAAAAAAAACACAAAATTTTATGCAAAACGAAATTTTATGAAAAGTAGATTTTTTTTTTTTTAAAAAAAGGGAAACGTTAAATTATTTTCTTTTTTTTACATTATAAAAATGCAATTGTGAAAATAATCATATAACTTTTTTTTTTTTAGAAAAGAGATGAAACGAAGAATTCATATTTTCTTTTTATAATATTATAATCAAATTAATTAGTGTCAATTTTTTAAATTCTTTTTCCTATTTGAATTAATTTAAATATTTTTTCTTGCTTTTATTATTATTATTATTTCTTGTTTTCACAATTTAATTACTATTTTCATATTTATTTCTAGTTTTATTAATATTTATCGGATATTTGTTACTTCTAATTTTAATTTGGTACAATCTAATTACTATTTTAATTTCCTTTTCTTTTTTAACTTAAATTAGTGAA